CTGCTTTTCTCCACACGTGGTTCTGAGTCGCATTCGTCTGTTTATATTATACTTGGGGGTTTGGAGGTAAGAAAAGTTCTAGAAATCTGTTCTAAAATTAATTGTGTTTGACTCGCTATGGCTCGCCACTCACGACTCACCAACTCAGTAATTTGCTAAGCACTTCGGTCACGATTATGTCATCAACGGCGGAAGCGGTCTGGTCACCATACTTATCTGTCCGTCCACGTCCCTCCACAGCAAGAAATATGCAGTGTGTTGCGTCAATACGAAAGGTCAACTAAATAAAGTCAAAGCGTAAGCAGTACTTACATAACTATATATATACATATCATTTTGAGTCCTTTTCGTATTCCAATCTATAACATATATTCATCTTTTATTCTTATAAGAAAGTTTTCGTACGATTTGGATTTAGAAATGATGATGAAGAGAGGTAGAGAAGAAGAAGAAGAAGCTGATAAGAACATGAAAAGCATGGCGAATTGCTTGATGTTACTCTCTAATGGTCAAGGCCGCCCGTTTGATTCAGTCGTTGACAGCTCTGCTGCTCGTGTTTTCGAGTGCAAGACATGTAACAGGCAGTTCCCTTCTTTCCAGGCGCTCGGCGGCCACAGGGCCAGCCACAAGAAGCCGAGACAGATGGGTTCCTGCGAATTGCCAACATATCCCGCGAAGCTCAAAACGCACGATTGCCCTGTTTGTGGAATGGAATTCGCCATTGGACAAGCTCTTGGAGGGCACATGAGGAGGCACAGAACGGCGGCCTTCAATGAAAACGACCAACAGCCGCCGCCTCCACCCGCCTTGTCACTGTCTCCTCCACATCCTCATCCCATTGTGAAGAGATCGAATAGCAGGAGGGTTTTCTGTTTGGATTTGAACTTGACTCCATTGGAAAACAAGTTTCTTCTCTTTGGAAAAGTAGTTCCTGGCTACTATTGAGAGTTGCATATTTCATTTTTTTGTGTATATCACCTTCCAATGTTGTAAAATAGAGCATAGATTCATGTATTTACGAAGAGTGCAATGTTTGTCAAATTTTGAGTCTTGAAAACCTAATCGAGTGGACCTCAGTCTTTGATGGTTTCCTATTCAAATAAGGAGCTTTTGTTGCATATTATTATTGGCAAACACTTTCTTTTTCTACTTAATTTCACATCATCTCATTCAAGTTACTAATTCCAAATGATTGTTTTTATCATGCAATAAGCTCATCGATTGAGAGAGTTCCTTGTTCCATATATGTTGGGTCCTACAAATATTTATAATTAAATCATCTTGTGTCTTCATGTTCATGTTCTCATATACTGAAGGACATCTCTGGTGAAGCCCAAAAGGGATGGAATTAGCCATTGGACAAGGCACAAAACGGCAGCAGTGAGTGATTGTACCACGTCTATCCATGCTGCTGCCAGCCATGTCTTTGTCTCCTCCCTGAGGATCTGTTACAAGCATCCTCGGGCAAGCCCGTTAGCTGCTCATAGTCCAAATCCTTTAGATGCAATTTCATGGTAGTTTCCTTTGTTTAAGCAATGTCATATATTTTATTTTACTAGCTCTTGGAACATGCAATGCACGTAGTATACTTCTAATAATAGTGTGAGGTACGGTTTCTACTGAAGTAATAGGAATTACATCTGATCCCGGTGATTATGAAAACAATTCAGTTTGTATTCGAATGGTCATTCGAAGCTTAGGAAAACGTTAAAGACGTTCACAGTTGTTTTTCAATCTCTGTTAGAAGTTTTGTTATAGAGTAATGCTATTTAGCCCCACTGGAATTGCAACCTCGGTCTATGTGGGGTTAGATGAAATTAAATAAGTCATTGAATTTCACATTTCATTTAGCCTATCATTTAGAGCCACCTAAACCGGGTTTACAACCACAGTGGGAATACATAGCATACCTTTGTTGTAATTGGTGTTACAAACCTCTCAAAAATCAATGCTGCTGTGCTGTCTTTTACCATACAGAATTTGCCACACTGCTTGGCCGACAGAGTGGAAACCATGTAAATAAAAAATTCCAAAAAAATACTCCCATATTGTTAGTATGTTGTCAGGGAAGGTGTGACAGCATAGCAACATCGCTCAATGTAAGTTACAAATTTAGCTATATTCAATCATCAATGGCTCAAAAATATTCAATCTCTCAAAAATAATAGAAGTTACAAATCATTTGAATGGTGATCAAGCATTAATCAAAAGCATTATACACAATAATAACTACACAATATAAGTTCACAATTAACGTCAAAAAAAAAAAAAAAAATAGAATTAAAGAGTCAATACAAGGTTTACGTTCTTCCTCTTGATTGAAACCCAAGAAAACCTAAAGCAATGTAATTCAAAAAAAAAAAAGGTTTTGTGTTTTTTGCTTCAAGATATTAGTCTCATGAGCCATTTAAAACGGTGCCTACCATCTACGAAAGTCCTTAACGAAATCAGATGTAACAGCTTTCTCGAGCAAAATATCCTCTGCAGACCTAGTGAATTATACTTGTCGTGGATTGCAACAGTCTAATTTTGAGTACTATAATTTCTATTCGATTCCTTGTAACAACATACTATGGGTCTGTCTGATGCATATTTTCTATCACATTTTAAGACAAATTCAGGCTGTAATGTAGTGTTACATTCAGTAAAATTACCAGTTTGCCCCTTCACGTAAAATTCATTATGAGAGAAGTAATAGCAATTTCGTTTTGGAAAATGATAAGTGTACATAATATTCCTACATAATGGTACACATAATACTCACATGAGGTGGGACCCTCCTCGTGTGAGTATTATGTCAACCCCTATGTTACCATCTATGTACCCCAAGCAAAGCTCTTTCGTTTTTATGCTTCGTCAGACTCTACTGCACAAATGGGTCCCACTAACCCTTATAACGGTCCAAAAATGTATTAAAGTTTGGCCAAAATGCCTCCCAAACTTTAGTTTCAAGAACTGGTCGGTTTCATTGCTTTGATTTAATCATACTGATCAGTTTATATTTCAACTGATAGACATTGAAGTCTAATTTTATTAGGTATATAGCAGTTTGATCACCACTTCGAAGTTGACAAAAATTAAATATGAACTACTGAACATTTTCAAGGGTTGAAAATAGGAGATGTTAATGTTATCTTTAGTTTTTGACTAAATTAAAAATTATATCTATCTATTTAATTATAGTGACTCTACCAAGTGTTGAAACACTGGTGAGGGAACTTTGAACGATATAGATTAAAAGGTTCATAATGTACAACTTCATACTGAGAAGGGTCGTGAATAGAAATGGCATCGATAGATATCACTATATATAAAGAAAGAATTAAAGAAAATGAGGATTCGATTTCAAGTATTTGATAATTTTGTGCCTCGTACATTTAGTAGTATGTTTTTATGATTTTTATGTTTTATTTGTATATTAGTGAGAATATTTTATGTCCCGTCTTGAAAGTGGCGGAGATAGGGGTGGGTTGTAGCCCACCCTTGCCCAAGCTCACCTCTGTAAAAAAAAAATCGGTTAAAACCCATTTTTTTCACTGTCCAACCCAATAGCCCCCCGTACCCTTCATTCCAGGCTCAGCCCTTGCGTCTTGAGTTTGTTGTGTTTCCGTTGTTAATCTACATATATGGTTGATAATAAGAGATATTACTACTATCTTTATTAATTTTAGTGTAAATTAAATATTTTCATCAATTTATTTGTATAGAGACTAATTAAAGAAAGAAATAGTAAAGACAATAAAATTCAACATGTAATTAGTAGATTTCGTCCATCTACATTTTATATTGTATTTTGACGGTCAGATTTTACATCCATCAAGTTTTATATATTTCCATTGTTAATCTACCGTAGATAGGGTTGAAAATAAAATATATTCTATGTATGCGTAGTTAACATTTCATTGCTTGTGTTAGTATACAAAGTTCTTAATTTTTTTGTTGTTGTTGCTTTGCGTACGTCAAGTAGTTATTACCCCGAAAGAGAATTAAAGATAGGTTGATATAATTCAATTGAAAGCATGTTTGTCAATAGAGTAATTGAATTTGATTGTACATTTAAGTTGAGAAACTTCTTATCAAATCCAATTAGAACATGTCGATCTTATCTTCATTTTTAACACAACATTTTAGACTATGATTTTCTCAATCGAGTTTAATTGTTTAGAACACGTTTGATTCTCATTATTGTAGAATGAGAATGAAAAATATAACTGTTATTGGGTCTCATACAAGAGATAGAAATTCAAAATTGATGTCTGGATGTGATGGATAACGGTCATATTTTTCATTTTTATAGGTGAAAAATGAGAAACAAACGGACCCTTAATCATGTTATTACAAATAAATGATGTGACAAAACGTAAAATCTTGAACGAACAATCCAATCTTTATTTTATCGGACTGTCTTAAGGGATTTTCTATATTATTTAAAAAATGTGATTGCAAAGAAAAAAAACCCTAGTGTGAAAGGAGAAATAAATATTTCTAAAGTAATTAATGCCTCTCGTCACGGCACATGAAATCTTACTAACAGTCTAATAATACTTGCGAGGAAGCAACATAGGAACTTAACCAATTCACACACCAACTCGCCTAACTCAGTGTTGCTTACGTGACAAGTAAAGAGTAATGCTGAATTTCTACTTGCGGGATCCGATTCCCACTCGTGAGTTCATACTCAGCAGCCTAACAAGATATCATATATTCTAGAAAATTGAAACTTTCATTGTTTTGACTCGCTGTGGCTCGCCTACTCAGTAATTCGCTGCCTTAGCCGTCATCAATGACGGATACTTTATCTATTTTATCCTTTCCCAGTAAGAATAATATGTAGTACATTTCGTCGTTAAGAAAGGTCAACTAAATAAAGTCGAAGTGTACAACTATTAAAGCACATCTTCTCAATCTAAGTTGTAAACAATTACCTATATATACATATACCACCTTTCACTCACATTCTCAGACATATAGATTTCATGGTATTGGACTTTCAAATGACTATGAAGAGGAGTAGAGAAGAAGAAGCTGATCAGAACATGAAAAGCATGGCGATTTCTTTGATGTTACTCTCTAATGGAGGTGGAGGCGCATTTGATTCAGTCGTTGACAGCTCCGGCGCCGCTCGTGTTTTCGAGTGCAAGACATGTAACAGGCAGTTCCAGTCGTTCCAGGCGCTCGGCGGTCACCGGGCCAGCCACAAGAAGCAGAGACTGATGGAAGAACAACATTCCGGCGGGTCGAGGACATATCCGGCGAAGCCCAAAACGCATGAGTGCCCTGTTTGTGGGATAGAATTCGCCATTGGGCAAGCTCTTGGAGGGCACATGAGGCGGCACAGAACGGCTGCCGTTAATGAAAACAACCAACAGCCGCCGTCACCCGCCTTGTCTTTGTCTCTTCCACGTCCTCATCCTATTGTGAAGAGATCGAATAGCAGGAGGGTATTCTGTTTGGATTTGAATCTGACCCCATCGGAGAACAAATTTCTTATGTTAGGCAACATGGCTCCTGCTGTTGATTGTTTTTTCTGATTTTGAATCCTCCCATCTTCATCTACCGCCACTTATTTTTTTATTTTTGTAATATTTTGTTGTTAGTAATTAGATGTGTATTTATTCATTTGTTTATATAATTAAAAGAACTGTTTTTTCTCATATATTTTCCATTTATATCTGAGAAGATGGTCGGTCCAAGGGCTATGTTTCATATGTTGGGCGCTGTATTGGACTCGATTACAAAACGATTGCGATTTGATGGATTATAGTTATATTAGAGTTTACTCCTTTCCATTTAGGTCGATCAGCTTCTTAGTTCTTGTCTGAAAAAACTTAAACTGTTATCATATGTAGAGGTGTAAACAAACAAACAAAATCGAAATCAGGGTTTCAAAGTCATCAGTTTATAGTTTCGAACCAAACCAAACCAAACCTCCACGAAATACGAATGTCTTAAAAATAAAAGGAATGTGTCTATTTGTGATAATAGACACGTATTTTTTGTTGTTTTAATGTTTCTTTTATGCTAAACATTCGGTTTAAAACTAAATCAAATCATTCGATTTAGATTTGAATTTGAATTTTTCTTAAACCGTTTGGTATTCGATTAGGTTTAGGTTTAGGTTTAGCTAAAGTTTAAGTTTTTTCTCAAACCATTTTAAATGATGTAGTTTTAAAATATGTCAAAATCATTTCAAATTGAACGCTTACACCCAAAACTTAGACACAACATATTTGATTTAGATGTAAGCCTATGGCCTAAAAATGGTCAAAAAAAATAATATTAAGTAACTAACTTAAAAAATAGAACCCATCCTATCTGGTCTCGTGGAGTTAGTTGAGGTGCGCGTAAGTTGGCCTCAACATCCAGGGTTATCAAAAAAAAAAAAAGAACCCAATGTAAGAGGTAACATCTCTTTCTAAGCTATATCTAATTTTACTTCACATAATTGAAAATTAAAAAAAAAATGCATGGCATGTTAAATTGAGTTCTCTTCCAGAAGCTCTATCATACCATTCTGCAGCTTGCTTACCCTACAAGTCATCCGGATAAGAACTCCCATTTTCCATAATATATGTTTTATTTTGCTCAGCTGAAGGCAAGATCTCCGTATCAAACATCAAATGTAAGTACAATGTTTTATTCATTATACATTCGTTATACTAAATGTTGGTCTCGCGTATTCACAAAGTATTCATAGCGATAATAATTTTGTAAACAGAAAAGATTTTTGCAGAAAGTTAAAAGAAGAAGAAGGATTTTTCGCCACAAAGGCTCGGTCGTTCAGCTTTTAAGCCTACTCACCCGTTGAACATCTACAAGTAGATTACACTCAATTCCTTTATGAAATCATCAAGAAATAGTACAAATGTACGAAAAAATTAGAGATTTCTTCAGATTTCTCTCGCCTCTCTTTCAACACAAAGAACAAGTAATCTATACAAATTTCTCTCAACTGATTGTTTACCAAAAGCAATCAGAACAAAGAATTCAACAAATTTACAAAGAGAAGAACAAGAATACAAAGAAAGATCCATACGAGAAAAACCCTAAAACCAATTTCACACACAAAATACTTTTCACCATATGAGAGAGAGAGAGTGAGAGTACAAAATCACAGATCGAACGGTCACAATTCCAGCAGATGAAGGGCTTGTATCAAAGGTATTCAAAGAACCAAAGTCGTGTGATTAACACACGATTTTAGCAGTTAATGATCAGGACCCTTGCACAAATGGTCTAAGTGAAAAACCAGCCTAACAACAAAAAATTAAAGCCCAATAAATAGTGAAGCACCAGGTCCAAACCCAACACTACAACTACCATTCGGTTCGTTTTTAAGAGGAAAATTAAGCCCAGACTTTTCAACTTTTTACATGATGTTATTATGAATTTTCAGCATTCAAAAGTGAGATTTTATGTCCAAATTATTAATATTGTGAACGTAGATATTAAAATCCCACACAACTTTCACATGACTTCATCCTAGGAGACTTTCAAATTCAACTAAATTTCACGTGTAATTTTAACATCTACACTAACAATTATCATCACAAGAGGACTAGTTAGAAAAACCTCAAATCAATAACTTGTCATTCCATGAATTATGCTTCTTATACATTCCTTATTGACATCATCGTCTTACGTGTAGAAAATCTGACAATTGATTGAAAATAGTTCTGTTAAAATAAATGTACAAAAATTTGTCATCTCACACGATGTCAAACTTTATGTACATGTAACATGATAGTTATTCATTGCGCTTGTTTGCATAAAAGAAAAACAGCCCTTAGTTCTCTCCTAAACTCAACAAAGCCGAGGGTATGCAAATTTAGTTCGGTTTACAGCCCGTGAACTGGGTACAAGTGAACTCGAATACATTCACGCAGTTTTACCAAAAATCAATATTAGCGATGTGCTGCCAAATCTATGAACATTTTTCCAGACACGGATTTGGATGCCAAACAAACAAGCCGACAGCAATTCACCAAGAGCGCAGATAATTGGGTTCAGATCAGCTACTAGTTCATGCAACAATATCTTAGATGAAAAGGTAAAGATTAAAGAATGTCAATAATTGATTACATAGTTCAAGTACAGCAAACCACTGAAACCAGAAACTGCAGTGCAAACAGGAAGCAAAAAAATGTGCAAAAAAAACCAAATGGGCAATCATAAGGAAACCATTTCTTGAATTCAACATTGTTTTCTTGCAAAATAACTTCAAGCAGCATTGAGGAACAAGTTTACAACATTTCTTGTGATCGTCTTACACAACGACTAACTTTTTTCTTGAATTCATCCCTTTGCTCTCTCCATTCTTTCTGCATTATCAAGGAGGGGGGAAATCAGTGATCAACTTTTGGGAAACCCACGAAAAGAACTAACCAAAAGAAGCAATCCAACTTCTGCAGTTAGAACATTTTTGCAGATCAGGGGGAAAATAGGTTTAGAAGACGGGCACTCTGTATTTTATTTTTTATAGATAAAGTGTGTTTTGGACACCTCAATAAAGAGGTTGACTCTCTAAAATAGAGAAATACAAAGCTAATAAAGAGCTTATTGGCATTGCTCTAAGAGAAATAAGCACATCATAATGAAGTGGGAACTAAGTTGAGCGATTAAAATAATCAGATGCATTGACACTTACTGCAGCTTCCACATTTGCAGGAGACTCGTCATTAGGGCCTGAAAGCATCGAAATAATGCTTAGAACTATACTTTCCACCTGCAAATTAAATTCTCTGAATTAACTTCTTTAGTCGGGGTGGGGGTGGGGACAATCCTGTCCAGCACTGTGGTTTATTGAATACAATGCTGATATAGACAGCTATCAAAGGAAGTGCTTTTTATAAAAGAAACATCCCAACACAGAACAAGATAATTCAAGAATTGCACAGGCTGCAATCTTCAAATTACAAGTCATTGTAAACTTTTAAGAGATATTGAGCATCAAGAAAAATCCAGTATGAAACAAGGAGAAAGATACTGTGGCAATAATCTGAATATAAATAGTTATATACCTTTTGAGTGTAAATTTACATTTATCTATCCGATTAACACGATGCTTAAGTAGAATGAAGGCAGCAAATACATGACTTTGTTTTGCCATGGCTCATGGTAAAAGGAACCAAATAAAACTTTTTGATCTTATTTGACCATGCAACAATTTTCACAATACAACAATGCTTTAATTCTACTAATTTTGGATTGGCCACATAATTTCTATTTTCCCCATTCAGTTTGATCCATTGTTACATCCATCCATGCAGCCACATGTAACAAACATCCACTGCAATCAAACTTTCGCAACCACATCAGACCACATTAATTTCAGCCTACCTCCCTCTTCTAACATATTCTAGTGAAATTGCATTACTCTTATGAACAAAAACTTCTTCGTGCTTTCAAAAGACTTGCTCACCTCACCTAAGTCATCATTTCCTTATTTTTCCTCAATAATCGTCACCTCGAGTTGTTAGTATATATTCTATATTCTCATTTGTTATCGGACACGTGTCCAACCTAACAACTTCATTTTTGGTACTTTATCTTATAAACATTTTGTCCTTTTACAGCCTGACTTTAAATACTACAGAGCATAGTTGGTCTAATGAAAATTGTGTATCACTAGCCGTCCGACCTAATAGATTTTATCTCACAGAATTCCAAGTGAACACTTCATTTCATCCAACCAGCTCTAATCATATACATTAGATCATCCTAAGTCCTCATTTTTAATAATTGAATCTAAATACCTAAAACCAACAATCTTTGGGACCCAAATACCACTCACTATACTGTACCATGTGATGCTCAGACTCTCCAAAAATGAAGAAGTATCCGAGTCGGCACGACATGACACGGATAATGACACGAGCTATGGATCGGATCCTTAGTTTTGCACTCGGACACGGCAACAAAAGGGAGAAGGCGTCTTGCTCATAGATTTCTGGCTCTGCAAAAAGAAAAGGAGTCGGAGAAGACGAGAAAGTTGGGAAAGACGAGAGGTTGATGAATTGACTGCCCTAATTGATTAAACTGGGCAGACCAGATTTTGGAATTGGCTCTTTCAATTCAAATACATGAGTTGATAAAATTGTAATTATTTTATTTGGATAAATTGTATAGTCAAATCTATTTAATTTGAGTTTATTTTTGTAGTAAATTTCTTATTTCTAATATTTTATTTGTGTGAACTTTTTATTTTGTAATTAAAATAATTTAGGGCTATATCTTTTATATGGTATTAAATTTAAATTTATTTGTCCAATTATTTTTAAATAATATACAAGTTATTGAACTTGAATTTTTTCTTTAATTTTTTTGAAAAGAATTTATTTTGAATTTAAATTTAAATTAATTTCAAATTATAATACAATTGTTTAAATTAATTTTATTGAAAGAGTTGATAAACAAACTAAACTACGAGTTCATTACAGCCAATATCAGTTAATTTGTGTACAAGCAAATGGAAATTTAAATTGATTTTAATCAAAATGATTGTCCAATACTTGTATTTGAATTCCTTAGC